TGACATTTTAAAACTGGCATCCGATGAATCAAAAAGAAGTTATACATTAGATAAATATATGCATAGGTTTGATACTAGCATAAAATGCACTCACCTTGACTATTTAAAGCAAGCACAAGTACCACCAATACCAAGTTGCAGTATATGCACATGATGATTTTGCAATCTGAGCTGTCGTCAAGGAGTAGCAAAAAAAAATCTCTTGCTGTTTCTACTCTTTATACGCTTCCTCTCATGTAAGGGATGATGATGTTCTTGTCTGTTTTGCATATGCAGTCATACAGCTCTGACCCACATTGAAGCTGTATCACCTCTAGAGGTTGGAAAAAAAACATCTCCTTATAAAACAAACTTTTTTAAAAAGAGGATTGATTGTTTGCAGTGAAAGTGACTCGTCATAAATGTTAATGAGGATATTATCATTAAAAAAATGGGATTGTAAATATGAGAAATTTCCTTTAGTTAAACCATCTACATTGATTTCAATTAACTACTAAAACATGTTCAATACAAAGGAAGGTAAAAAGATGAATTTCAATGTATGCTGCTGGCGAAAAGCCAACCATGTTTTTCTTTAGCCAGTGTATTTGTTATACTTTGGTTATTGTTTTGGATTAGAACTAATTACACACACACAATTGTGCATTTCTTTTAGTAACTCTTAAGTCACTAGTCAGCACCATAACTAATTCCAAATGCTGCCGCTGATTATGCCCAATCCCTCCTGCCCTGGCTACAACATTCTGGCCAGCTGCTAGCCCTGTCTGACCTTCATGGCAGTTGCAAGCCGTGTCTGAACTTTTGGGCAGGTGCAAGCTATGTCTTTCCTTTTGGACATTTAAAGGCCACTTCCAAACTTCTAGTCAAGAGGTCTTCAACAGGGGGTCAGCGTGTTAGGAATCCAGTTTGTGTGGTCTGTTTTTGTGGTTGTTTGTGTGTTTTTTTCCCTCCACCACCAGGTGGTGCCCTGTCCTCATTGGCCCTCCCTGCACACCTGCGGCTCATTGGACCATTATCT